GCTGAACATGGGTTCTTTCAGGTTTTCCCTATGTGTTCTCATGTGATCCAGCAATGTATTCTTACTACACCTCTATAATAAATGTTAGCCTTGAGTATGACTCTATGGGAAATGCTGTGAGACCTATAAGCAAATATCTGAATGTGAGCGTGATTCAGGAGACAGCTGGCACAATGGTAGCAATAGCAAGGCTTGCAAGAATGACTCCAACTCACTAAAATCTAATTACAGTGTTTGAGGGGGGCACAGAGGGCAGGAGATGATGAAAGCTTGGTTTGCAGCTTGCTATGCAGTTAAACATAATATGAAACAGCAGCTGAATTTTTCCTTGTGGTCAGAGGTACCTGTGGAATTTGAAGATTATAAATCCACTGCCAGAAGAGATGGCTTTCTGGATTGCCCTACATGTTTTTGGCCATGTACAGTCAGTTGATTCTGCTAAAGTGAGGGAGAAGTACCAAAGTCCAATTGAAGAGTCATTATCTCTTTCTTTGTCTCTCTATGTTTCTCTTTCTATCGCCCTCTCCCTCTCCCTCCCTCCCTCTACCCTTCCTCCCTCTTTCTCTGTCTTCAATCTCACCAGGAAAGAAACAGGAACATTCTGTACAGGAGGAAGAGGATAAACAAAGTTTAAATTTGTTTCCTGAGCTGGAACAATGCTCTGGAACAATTAGGTAAAGCAGAGGAAAAAAAAGAAAGCAGGAGAAAAACACTCTCATCATCTCTTCAGCATAGCTGCTGCTGCAGCTCCCCACCCACCCATCCTTCCATTCCAGCTGGGTTCTGCTGACAGCTGTGATGCGAACCTCCTAAGTGACAAATGTAGTACTAGGTATTTGAGTAAACTTGTAATGAGAAAGGAAAGGGAACTTTAAAGCACAGCTTTGCATTTGTGGCTATGGCATCTGGGTGAATGATAACATTTTATGTAAAATGTTTCTGCTTATACTTTCATAAATGTCACAGGGGTCATGTCAATCAGGAAAAGCTGCAGAGGAAAACCTGTGTTCATGTGACACAGCTCCCTTGCTTTTTGCCACAGATGGACAGATTGGAATTGAAGTTGTTAGTATCGGAAACAAGGTTCTGTAACTGGTGTTTGTTTCCCTGTAATTTTGTTTGTTGGAGCCTCTGGAAAAAGGGAGCCAATCCCCAGAGGGAGAAACACTTTTCAAGTTTGAAAAAGTGGGGGTTTGGGATTTATTTTGTTTTTGTTTTGTTTTGTTTTTGCTAATGAGTTTTTCTAAAGTCAGATTTCTGACCTTAGGGGCAAATGATTTTCGGATAAGATGTGCAGATTTTGACATGGGCTAATTTGAACAATCTGGCCCAACAAGATAAGCGGTGCTTATGAAAATGTTGCTTGTTACTTGGACTTGGCACATGGGTGTCTGTCGCTACAGTGCCTCAGCTCTGCTGCTGCTGAAGAAAATCCTATGGCTTGTTGGGAACCCTGAATTCACAGATCCTTATTTCCTGGACCATAACCTGAAACTTTATACTGTCTGCTAAGGACTGGTTCAGTTTCAACACAGTTAGGCTGAACTGGAATCTAAAGCAGGAACAGATTCAGTAAACAGAACTCGATCTTTGGATCATTAGAAATTGAAGACGCTTCTATCTTTAAGCTATAAAACTTAATGGATGCTGGATGGACCATTTGGGTCACTTGTAGATGCCCTAAGAACTTGTTTTCTAACAGGACTACTTGAAATGGAGCTGCTGATCAATTCTATATTGCTTATGTAAGAGGTGATTGCATTCTTAATTCCTGATTTCTGGTGAAACCTGGAGGTGAGAGCGAGCAGAGCACAGGGAGTGTGACCCCTCTTCCCCAGCTTGATACGTGGGCAGGATGTCTCACTGCTGTCAAGTCAAGTTCCACTTTCCAGATACACTACAGTCTGATACAACAGACTGCTGCACACACCTTAGTAAGGCAGCTTGATTATACAATGCAGATGTCTGCAGAAAGGAATTAATCTTGCTTAAATTGCTCACTGCATAAATGATCAGGATGAAAAGTGCGAAGAGAGGATGTGGAAACCCATTTTGGACAAAGCAGCAAATCAGGAATTCACCTGACAATTTCTTGGCCTTAATGTGTCTAATTGGTTAAGTTATATTCAAATGTTGCTCAGTGAAAAGTGCTTTTGTCCCTTTTGCAAACCATTCTTCCAGATGAAATATCTGGTGATTAAAAGGAAATTATTAGGAAAAAAATGGAAAATTAAGATTACTGAATGCAAATCCAGACTCTCGATTCTTGTAACAATCAAGAAAATGAACTAACAACATAGAGGGAGGCTGAGGGGAGGGAATAGAAGAACATTAATGACTTTTTAAAGGCACTTCTGGATGCTTCCCCCTCTTTCTGAGGAAAAGCTCTGATTGTCCTACTATTGTGAGTGCTTTCAGATTCAGACACATGGCTGAACCTCAATGGCATATGATGTCATGATTCTGAGACAGCCAACTCTGCATGGTCTTTCGACACACCTCCGGATGCCATCCATAAGGGTTAGACAAATGAACTAGTCACTGAGAGAGAGGCTTGTGGCCTCAGGTGGCTCCTCTGGAGCCATCAATTGATTTGAATTGCACTGGACTTAGCACCTGGGATGAAAGTCATCAATCACCCTGGGAAGCCGAGGCAGAGGCCACCTGACCAAAAGCACATCAGCTAAGCGTGCCTTAACATTGTCAGCTCTTGCTCTCTAGGGTAGCACAAGGAGCCCTCAGGGATTGCACTTCTCATAAATGGGCCCGGACTACCACAGCACTGTCTCAGTCCTGGAAAATGTTCAAGTCATCTTTCACTTACTGGGCGAAGCTCTGCTGGGACATGAGGAAAAAAGATTTGTAACAGAGGAAGGCAGCCACCTGACTGCTTCAGGTAGGCCTTTATTGCTAATAGGATTTGTTTCAGGACCTCCAAGTGGCATACGTTAGATCAGCACTGCTGGTTGGTCTCACCTTCCTGTGTGGGCTCTCCGGATAATTCTATGAAGACATACTGGCCCAGAGACCAAAGCGTAGATTGTGCAGAAAAGAATTAACAAGCAAGTACAAGTCTACTGTCCTTAAAACAGTCTGCTTGCAAGGTTGACCTTCAACTGATATTTGAGAACTTGGATTTGGGAACAGTTCTAATCTTCCCTTAACTCATTGGATCTGGATTGTTTGTGCAACATGATTCAGGCTGAACACATGCTTTTTGTGTGCTTGGAATTTTGACACATACTAGATATAAGTTAGGAAAAATGTGACCAGCCTGAATGAAAACAATAAACTCTGAATCTCAAAGGATTTATCTGGGCAGACACACCCAGTGAGTATTATAGACATGATATATTGCTGAGTTTTTGTTGTTGGGGAAGAGTGTACCCTGGGTGACTCCTCTTATGGGAGGGAAAGAAGAGAAGGAGGGTTAGAACACAGATTATTCCAAACTCTGCATGTGTCCTTTCCCTTTATGATGCAGCCATATATCCTCACTCCATCACTGTAGTCATTCTTATCCCTGAACACAACTGTATGCTGAATGCTGAATTCCATGACATTTCCATTGGGATGGTGATCTGGGGGTCCTCCAACACACTCATGACTGTAAATATCAGATATTTTCTTATCACACTATAGATGTTGCAGATATCTTGAAATTGCTACATTGATCATCACTTTGAAATTAAGGTAAATATTAGATCTGCCACTAGGTAATTTCTTACTCAATGTTTTATGATGATAAAGAAGCACATATGTTATTATACCACCTATAAAATATTTCAAATATTTAATGTTTTTAGTGGTTTCCTTTAACAGAATTCATTTCATGTTTTAGCATGATCCTAAGTACTTTATTACTACATGACTCTGAGAGCCTGATCCTGAGATGGCCATAGGATTCACCAGAATCATGCCAAAGGTATCTGTATAAAAGAAAGTTTCAGACTCCTTCTAATGGGTTTTTTCCTGGACTGTACTTCTTAACTACTAGCAGATGATGATTATCTATAATAAATGGATATGTGTAGCTCTAAATTCATACAGGGACAAGCTAGAACTACCTCTGTGGATTATATTTAAAAGAGACAGCAGGAACTGGGTGTGGTGGCAACCACCTGTAATCCATTACTCTGGGAGGCTGAGGCAGAGGAATTGCAAGTTCAGGCCCAGCCTAGGCAACTTAACAATTTAGCAAAGTCCTGTATCAAAATAAAAATAAGAAAGGGCTGGGGTATAGTTTCATGTGAATGCTCTGACGTCAATCGCCAGCACAAGAAACAAGGTGGGGGAAGCAGCAGAAGCCAGCAATGAAGTTCCTTTATAATTTCATGCCATGCTCGTCCAAGGTGACAGTTACACTTTATCTGAGAAGTGCAGTAAAATTAGGGTTTTATAATGTTGAGCTTTCTAAAACTGTTATCCTTCCATATAGAATATATGTTTCTTGTAGAATTTTTCATCAAATTCATAACTGCGTACAGAAAAATTCCAAAACAAAAGTGTGAAAATCTATTTCCCTTTCAGGGGCTTTTCTAATCAAAAACTGCTTCTTGATTCCAGTCTTCCACTCAGCTAATGGAAGTGACTTTGAAGATAGACAAAGTCATCTTTCGTTTACAATGGCCCACTATAACATTAATCTCTTTCGATTATTTATTAATATACTTTTTGGTTATGCGGGTTAGATTTTATTCAGTTTTGAAGCCTTATTGAAATGCTGATGAAATTGTTTTCAATCATGGTAATGATTAACACTTTAAAATTTAGTATTTCAAATTTAATTTGCACAGGTTCAGTAGAGAGAGTGGCTACATTTGTGAGAATAACTTAGCACCCTGCTGTAGCATAATAGCCTGCTCTTTCCTTAAGGATGCTCCTAGGTATGTGCCCTATTGGCAAATGTTTTTCTTCACAATGAAACAGTACGAACAGAGCATTTTTACATTGTCAGGAGCTAAAGTGTTTCTTTAATTGAATACAAAATACTCTGCACGTAAAAATAACAAGAAAGTTTATTTTCATAACATTTGACACTCTTCTGCCAACAGTGTTTTATCTTTCCTTTCCGGTAAACTACACTTGAGTAGCTCACATGCTTTCATAACTTTGCACAGAGCATTTCCAGCATCATATCATCCATGCTGACTGTGCCAATGATGGGCCTGAAGAACAGTTCAGCAATGACATTGGCATTGATGAATCTCAGCAGGAAGAGGGCACTATTCAGTTCGGCAAATCTGGTCTGGTACCCTCTGTGTGTCATCCTGATGTGTTCACTGAGGATCTGCTGAGTTCCCCACTGAAGTCCCTGAATGTACTTCACGCACTGCAGGCCTGGCAGGTCTGGAAGGAAAAACATCTCTTTGTTATAAATAGCTCACTACAGAGATTTCTGCTAGATTTTAGAATACATCCATTCCTGTCATTTCCCCATGAAGTAAGTGCTCAAGTGTCCCTGTTAGAGGGTTTTCTAGAGCAAGGATAAAATACCAAAGCAGTTGTAAGTTTTCAGAAGCAATACTTCTAAAGATGAAACATCATGTAATTATTTTTGTTTAATATTCATTGGGTTTGTATGCACACAGAAACACTGGCTGTGAGCCAACAAGGCACACTTAATTTAACAGTAAAAATAGCTTAATCTCTGCTTCAATGAACTTTTTGTGCAAATATGAAAAATAAATAATGCTATTTAAAGAGATGAGACCTTTACCTTTGACCTACGAGAAACAGATTACTGTATCATGGGAAAAAGTTTTGCCAGGTGATAAATATTTTGCCATACTTCCTTAAAATTTCCCATCATTATACTGATGATCCAAGCAACGGTGAGAAACTTCACAGCCACAAACTATGACTCACATGTTTCATTTTAATTATTTGCCTACAGGTTAATATTATGCTAGAAGCCCATACTATGTTGAAAACTAATGCTGACCAGTTAACCCATTGTACCATGATTTCTGGATTGGGGAAAGTTAAATTTCGTGATTCTAATGAGAGTTCCAAAATTCTTTCTAAAAACATTAAAATAAGAAATGTTTAATAGCATTTTCTTACAGCCATTCAAAGGTAAAAATATAAACATGAAAATGCCATGGATTCCAGGCAACATGATTCAAAATTAAACTTTTAACACAAAATGCATGACATTCTTGTGGTGCAGTGTGATTTTTAAGTAAAAATAAATGAAATGCAACACAGGAAAGATTAAGTTTTATAAGGAAGGTGGTAAGAGAAGGCTGCTTTAAAAAACTTTTATATTAGTAAAAAAACTTTCGATCTATGATGATATTCCTGCAAAGTACTTTATATTCAAGCAATCAATAGTTTCCCTCTTTGTTTAAATGATCTCATTGATAAATGTAAATATTTTCTTTATTTTTTCTACAAAATTCAGCAGAAAAGGTTTTTATAGTAGTGTGGAACTTACCACAGGGAGCAGAATCAGTGTTCTTTGAAAAATAATGATGACAGACAAGAGGTCCTCTTATTATAGGCAAATATCAAATTTGTTGAAGGAAATAAGAACAAAGTAAAGCCACACTTCTAAATCATGTTCCAGTTCTGTATATTGCAGTCTACACACTGTCATCCCCTACTACCTGCAGCTCAATACCCAGTTTGACACCCTGTTTAATTGTGCATGAATGCCACTGAGAAGGCACCTCCAGGCCTACATTCATGGCTGCTGAAGACTTCATTTTATGAACTCTCCATTACTCTTTACTATTTTCATACCACACCCCTCCGTATTCCTTACATAGAATACCTTTTCTAAATGGGCAAAAGAAAAGTGTTTTCAAAGACGTCAGGAAAAAAAAGCAGATCACACACACACACACACACACACACACACACACACATATATATCCTTATTTTTTACTTATCTCCTTGTGTTTAAACTCATATATGTGTGTTTTCATACAGATATGTGTGTGTTTTTAAATCTACTTATATGTTTAATTATATATAAATTCTGTTAAAACTTACAGATGAGTAAATACGAATAATAAACAGGAAGGAAAGTTCATATTTAGCAAGCATTACCTTTCAACCAATGTACGTGCATGCATATGTGTTTCAAACACATCCAGTTTAGCTGGTTCAACTCATATAGAGAAGACTAAGAAAAACATTTAAGAATAAGGGAGACAGGGGTGGATGTTTGCATGTGTGATAAAAGTATATAAAACAGAATTAAAGAAATAGGAAAATTTGAAATGTAAACTTATAAAGCTGAGCCCAGTCTTCCTTCCGGATCCTAAAAGGACTGAGGAAACTATTTTCTGAATGACCTCAAGAATCACCTGGGCACTTACTAGGAATGCGGACCAAAGAGGCTGGATTTAAGCTACCGAATCAGAAACCCTAGGGGAGGAGCCTTGAAAGACACTTAAACTCCCTACCTCCCCACACACAGAGTCATACTTTTTGCCTAAGTAAATTGGGAAAACAATAGTACAAGCAAAAGAGGGATTTCCAGTAGTCACTGGGATGAGCTAAAGTCTGTAGGTCATGAAATGTGAGGTCTGAGTGTATTATTCTTGCACCAAATACTGCTCTAGGAGAGAATATGTAGAGGAGCGTTACAAACAATTATCCCAACTTAAATTGACTGGAAACTTCCTAGAGAGGCAACTTGGAAGGGCACTGCTTGACGATGATTCTCCTAGTAGGACAAACCCAGACAAGGTATCACATCTCCTCCAGCGATTTGGGTGCATTGTGTAGGGCAGCATCCAGCACCCAATAGAAAACCAGAAACTGTTGTATAGTTGACCTCCCTTTGGGCACAGAGGACAGGACACGTAGGTGCCAAGACACACCAGCCTTTCACTGCAGAGTAAAATCACTAGGGACTTGGACGCTCTGTATAATGGGGTGGGGGAAGGGTGCAGGCAGCAAGGTTGATTAGGAGGTCTCCAAGGTCTCTCCAAGCTCTAAAATCACAGTGCCCCTCATCTCTGTCCCTACCGTATCTTTTTCCTGCCCCTTGCCAACCTGATATTCACTGAGACATGAAGCAAAGCAGAGTCCAGATGCTTGGGGCCACACAAACCACTATTCTGAGGCAGATCTGTGAAATACTTAGCCCACTGTCCTGTCTGACAGGAACCCCAGGGTAGAGTCCATAGGGGTCCCGAACATGTTTCCTTTCTTCCCAGACTTAATAGACTCCGCTAACTGAAAGGTTCTAGTAAATTTAAAACCAAGGTTTCAGAAAACGTCTCGGGAGTTGGAGAGCGCAAAATCTTTTTTAAAGCTATGCTATGGGATTTAAAAGAAAACGGAACAGCTATGTCTCACGAAGGCACAAACTTTTGTGTAGTAACAAAAATATGTAGAAAGCCAAGTACAAACCTCAAGAGACACCCCACCCCCCACCCCATCCTTTGCGTTGAGCTTCTGGCAGGGGCTCACCTATTGGGAGGGGGTCCTGGAGCCTGCTCCCCCAACTCTGCCGAGTTAGTCGTAACTCTTCGCTTGCGCTGACACCCCCTATCACCACTGAAAACTGAGTGTCTGTGCCTAGCGGTAGGCAGTGCCTAATACTTTGCTGAGCTGAAACAGCCGGCGCCCAAACCCAGCGCTCTTACCCGGATTAAAGAGCACGGTCCCCTTGAGGTAGGCGTACTCCTTGGTACTGATTTCCAGACTCCAGCACTTGGCAAGGAAGCTCTTGATGGCTTGGACCGTGGCGGCAGAGGGAAACTGCCCAGCCCCTGGCGGCGACGCCAGTTGTAGCTGCAAGGTAGAGAGGGGCTGTGGCTGGTGACCCTCGGTCTCCTGCCGCCTGGTGGTGAGGATCCTTTGCAGCATGCTGGGCTCTGAGGTCTCCACTGTGTCAAAGTGCAAGCGGTCCTGGGCGAGCTCCAGCATAAGCAGGGGCGCCCAACAGCTGCGCACCAGCACCAGCTGCTGATCCAGAGGCAGCACTTGGAAACAGGGCAAGTACTTGACGAAACGCAGCGTCTTCAACAGGCCAGCCGAGGCTGCCTCGCAGACCACCTGTGGACTCTTTAGAGCCACCGGCCGCTGTGCACCACACCAGGTGGCCCACCAGAGGGCCTCCATCTGCGCATCTGGAACCGCGTATGTTTGGTTTGCGCTCCTGGGCATGCCATACAGGATGCTACCCCGCTGCGGGTGGTCTTCACCGCATGAGTAGCTGCGGTGCGGGAGCGCCATGGTCTGCCCACTTGGCACCCCCTCTCTACCCCTCACCCTCTGTGCACAGTAGGAAAGCTCCCAGGAAGAGCTCCCTGACCGTGCCTCAGGCGCCTCAGGAGCCTCTTGCGCTTGCTTTGCGCTCGTGAGCAAGCTGAATAAGATGCTGCCCTGCCTAGGGTGGTCTTCGCCACAAAAGCAGCAACGGTACAGGAGCGCCACAGCCCGCCTGCCCAGCGGCCCCTCTTCACCGACGCGCGGCTCAGCACCGCACGAACAGCCCCAGCACGGAGCCCCGAGCCGCTGCTTGGGCTCCTCAGGAGCCGCGTGCATTTGCTTTGCGTTCGTGAGCATGTTGTAGAGGATGCTACCCTGCCGTGGGTGGTCTTCACCGCAAAAGCAGCAGCGGTACAGAAGCGTTACTGCTCGCCCTCCTGACAGTCCCTCTTTGCCCACCTGGGGCTCAGCACCACAAGAGCAGCCCCAACACGGAACTCCCAGCCTCGCACTTGGCGCCTCAGGAGCCTTAGGAGCCGCGCGCAGTTGCTTTGCGCTCACAAGCATGTTGTAGAGGATGCTGCCCTGCCACTGGTGGTCCTCGCCCGCCATGGCCCGCGGCGTCCGCAGCTCGTTCTGCCCAGTGGCCGCCTCCTGGGACTTATTTATGCTGAGCGCGCACGCAAGCGCGACCTCCTCCTCCTCCTCCTCCTCCACCTCCTCCTCCACCAGGGCAAGGGCGCAGCTGGGGGTGCGGCTCTGCGCTTCGATGTGTTTGTCCAGGACCTGGGAGGTTCAAAGGCTCAAATAGTCCTTAGAAGCTGAAAATATTAGAATGTCAGCACAGAAGCTCTGGAGCACTTCATCCCTTCTTTTCCCCCTTCCCCTGCCTTTGGAAGACCTGAGCAGAGCGATTGGAGTAGGGAACTGGGGCACTGTTCCAACTCTTTCCATTGAATCCTAACACCTGATTCGGTCCCTCAACTGGGAGAGCAGAGCGCCTAAAGGGGGAAAATCTGTTTCTCTGCCATTTGTGGAAACTCATTAAATGATCTGACTGTGTTAGTTGTATTTTTTATACCGATAGAGAGTTCTCATTTTCTGAGACCTTGAAAATATATACTGGCAGTATCAGCTGTTGGGAATTGGTAAAAACCCCACTCAGACATTCTAACTCCAAATGTGAATTTTAATGAAGTCCCCAGGGGATTCTCACAAGCTTTAATATTGGAAGAGCACTGGTAAAGAATGCAATCATAAATGTTCAGTTTAATTCAATTAATATTTATAAGCATCCCATATATCCTAGATGCTGTGTTAAAGTGCTGGGGGCAGCAACCTGGATGTAAAAGGTAGGTAAACATTGGAATTATAGTAATCACCAGATTGTTAAAGAGAGAACTTTTGATCCTTATGGAAAATTACACTGGTAAGTGTGTAATTAACATTTCTGTCCTGTCTTCCCTAAGCTAATGGTAAATACAAGCGCGGGGTAAGCCTGGATCCTGATGTTCATTTGTTACGCAGCCTCCTTCCTCTAGTTCCACACAGGCACTGAGATCAGTGAGTCTCCCCAAACCATGAGGTGCCCCTTCTGTAATGAGCTGATTAGTTCACCAGCCAGCCCTATAACTTCAATACTGTAGCCCTTTGAGCCTCATTTCTCAAAAGTGGAAGAATTATGTTAGTGCTGTCTTGTGTCCAGGCCTGAGGATGTGAAACAGGAAAGGGGATTGGTGTGTACCAGCTGGTTTGGTGTCCCTTTTCTTTTTATTTTAAATCATATTTATCTATTTATTTATTTTATTTATGCCATACTGGAGTCAAACCTATGAGCACTCTACCAGTGAACTGCAACCCCAGTCTTTTTTTTTTTTTTTTTTTTTTTTTTGAGATCAGGTCCTACTCATTTGCCTTGGAGAACTCAAACTTGTGATTCACCTACATCAGCCTCCCTCAGTGCTGGGATTACAGGCACGTACCATGCCCAGCTTCTTTTTCTTTTCTTTTTTTTTTTCTTTTTGACTTTCTTTGCATTCTCTGAAAACTGGAGTTAAGAGCATACAAGGAAAACCAAGGAGATCCTCAATTTACTTTCAACCTGAAGTTTTATTCTGCCTGTACAGACCATATGGGGCAATAGTTAAATTTCTGGTACTAATAGCAGGTTGCCTCAGTTGTTTTCAAAGATAAAAGAACAAACACATATTAACATATACACAGACATAAATAAAACAACACAAAACAATAAAAGCAATACAGAATTTCAGACAAGGAGATAGGAAATTAACAGTGGTTGTTGTATTACATATTGTTATCTTCAAATTGGTTACTCAGTTAAACAAATATGGGCATGTAAGATTGATCAAACAATTAAACATTAACTGATCCTTTCAATAAAGCAACAGAAATTAGTGGTACAATTATCTTAGCTATCTTGTGTATACATATATACATATTTCCCCTTCATTCTTTTTTTTCTCTTTTCCCACATCCCAGTTGTTCTTTCCTTTTGAGCAGTTTCTTTCCCTTTCACAATATCTACTCTACCTTTTAAGTTTTATTTACTCTTTCAGGTTCTTACACTAGTGAGACAATACAGTGTTTACACATGTGGGTCTGATTTATTTCACTTATGAGTATGGCCTCTAGTTGCATCCATTTACCTACAAAAGCCTCCAGTTTATCTTTCTTTATAGTTGGGGTTGCCTCAGTTTTAATCCTGGCTCTGTTCATTTTGTAACACAATGGCCTTGAGAAATGTACTACTTTCCTATTGCTGTTGTAAAATCTTATCATGAATTCAGCGGCTTAAGGAAACACAAAAATTTTTCCTTTACAGTTTTGGAGGCCAGAAATCTGAAATAACTTTACTGGGCTAAAATCAAAGTGATACTACTTTCTGGAAGACCTAGTTAAGAATATATTTCTTTGCCTTTTGTAATTTTAGAACTACCTGCATTCCTTGGCTCCTGGCCACATCATTCTGATTTCTGCTTCCATCTTCTTCTCTGACTCTTTTAAGAATCTTTGTTAATATATTGGGCCCATCCAAAAATTCCATGTCACCATTTCAAAATCCTTAACCACATCTGCAAAGTCCCTCTTACCCTGTAATGCAAATTCACAGGTTTTAATGTCTAAGATATGGACATCTTTCAGGGAGATACTTTTCAGCCTATCATAGAAAAGTTATTCAATACATCTAAGTGTCAGTTTCTTCGTATGTAAAAAAATGAGCAAAAGTATGTGAGTTAATTCTAATATATGAATTTTTTCATATAAAATGCTCATAATATTTGATACATGATACATACTGTGCTTGTTTACTTTGCTTTAAGTAAATATGGATCAAATTTCAGGGTTGGGAGGTGATCCCACACCAGCACAACTATAATTCCACCTTTTTAGGGAGGCAAATCCTCACCATGCACCTACCCACTTTTGTCCCACTTTTTCTGGATATCTACATTTCTTGGCCTGGACTCAAAATATTGAATGAGTCACCTGGTTGCTTAGCTAGCAATGTTAACTCATTGTCTCTTTTATTATTTGCCGTTTACAGTCCTCAGGCTACTTTCTAGGGCATTGTTATAATTGCTTAACAATCTTCATGCTTAATGAATTCACCAAGATGTCCAGCTGAAAGAGCCAGTCTACTTGAGTCTCTACCTTAAACTGCCAGTGTTAATTTTATTTTACTTTCTTCCTGATACCTTATTATTTCTTTAGTTATGTGATGCTTGTTGGTTATCCACCCCTACATCAGAAATGATTTTGTTGGCTAACTGTACCATTTGCATGAGAAGAGGAGATCACAGATCTTACACTCACCACAGAGACCATGCATTCCCACACAGTTATTGCTGTGTTGACTCTAGAGGGAGAACAATTAGCATGCCTTGATAGATTTAGATTTTTCTGGAGGCCTATTTTGATACTCAGAATGCTATACACACTGTGCCAATATAAAAAAACAACTGTGTCAAGGAAACTGGCCTTGAATTTGGGCTCTCCTAATCTGCAGATGTAACATTAAGCAAGTCATCTAACTTCAGCCTTCTTATTTGTGAAATGGGAACAAAATTCTATAAATCGATTATTGTATGTATACCTTGTTCTAAGGACGTAAGAGGTTATTATATTTTCCTCTCAATATAACCATTTACAGAAATGTTTGCTGTTCCGTCCACTGCACTGAGACATGAAGTAACCTGTGTTTACATTCATTTACTTCTTAATGACTTGACTTTGAACAAAGCATTTAACGTTACATCAGCCTTTTCCTCTGTAAAACCAGGAAACACTACTATAAACTAGTTTTAATATGTGCACTTTAACCTTATACCCTTCAATGTTTTTCTCAGACTTTTTCAAATTTTCAACTATATTTTTAAATATCCTAAAAGCTTAAGCCCATTTTGTGTGAGTTTATACATATTCGATGCTTTTAACTTTGAATTTCAAGCATCCTCTGAAACTGAAACTTAACTGAACTGCTAAGAAGCATGAATTTATAGTATATTGGTTATTGTTCCATTATTTGCCAGTGACAGGGTCTTCCGATTTTCTTGTTTTCCTTGGAGTTGTGTTATGGTCTTCTATTTGCAACCCTGAAGGACTTTCTAGACTCTTTGGACTGAGTGTTTCTTTTTTTTTTTTTTTTTGGTTTTTCTCCGGTACCGGGAACCGAACTCACGACCTTGCGCTTGCCAGGCAGGTGTTTTTTTGCCGCTGAGCTAAATTCCCAGCCCCTAGGACTGAGTGTTTCTAAGGAGAGAGTGCCTGCTTGTCCTTCACAAGTATTCACCCTTGGGAGCACCAGGAGAAAACTGACTTCATCTTTCCACTTTCTATTTTTTTCCTGAATAAATAGCTCTTGAGAAACAAAATAACCCAAACACACCAGTGCAGACATCTGCACCAAGTAATGGCAATCTGCTGGGTGCTATAGGATTAGCAAAGGCATAACCTTCCCAGGCAGGCGCAGGGTTTTTCATCTAACTTGTTCCACGTTGTCAAACCACTGTGACAGCTAGACAAAAGGACGCTCATCAACTGAATCTATCATGTGCTGAGTTTGTCCACAACTTCAATTTGGATATTTACACTGACTCATTGTGTAGTGACCTTGGCCAGTTGGACACCTGCTCCATAGAATCTATTATCTGTTCCAACTCAGGGTGGGAGTAAGGCTGTTCTGCCTGCCTGAATGCAACCTTCAACTTCAAAGTAACGCAGTTTTAGCTAAAGGATGTAGGAGTAAGGTCCAGGTGGGAATAAAGCTGGGTAAAATTGTAAAAGTGACCTTTGCCAGCCAGATGCTTTTGACCTGGGAAGTCATGATATGAAGGCACGATGATCTGAAACACGATATGAATTTTCAATTTGAGCTTAAAAGAATTGGAAGGCCTTAGAATTCAGCTCCTTCAGTAAACAGGCAGCAGGGAGTACCAACAGAGTTTTCCTTATTTTTCAAGATAAACGTTGGGTAAACACTTTTGTAGACGAATAGTGGTTGACAAAACCCCAAGACATAGCCTCCCTCATTTTCCTTCCCAAGACTCAGAATATTTCAAGCTATATTTATGAAAAAAATCAATAGACGTTAGATGCTTATTCATGAAATCCCTAAAGAAGATAAACTCATCATTATTTCCTTCAG